TTATTATTATTATTATAAATGTAAGGAATTATTATTGTAATTGCAACAATGGTAAAAATCACATCTGTTATCCAGATCCAAGGAATTCTCCGTTTTGCAACTATAGAATGAGTGTATTAACGTAATTAATAGTTTAAATCATGGCAAAAAAAGAAAGTGGACCGAAAGGAGGTATTATGGAAAACAAAATATTTTACGGCTCAGTTTTCCCTTGCTCCGACCGGTTGAGAGCAGCGACTTTCGAAACTTTAGATACTATTGTAGTATCATTAATCTCCCACTAGACGTCAGCACTAGCCTTCACAATCACACTCCTGATTAATTTATGTTGTATGTTTCTGGCGCATGCCGGTAGCTCATTTTTTCTTACCCCCCACTACTTCACTCATTAAAAATAAATCAGAATTCTGAGTGCATCCTGTTTCATCTCACTCAGAAACAAAACGTACTTCCTGTCATTAATGTTAAATAAAATTCTCTTCCGAATAAGTTTTAATTTATAATTTACAAGCGTTTAAATTTAACTTCGATTTTTCTTTACCGAAAAGCCTGAAAAACACTTAAGCTTAATGCTCTGAAAAGCATTAAAATACAACAAATGCTATTGACTCCTATAGCCTGAAAACCGAATCCCACTCTTATTACACTAGAAAGATTAAATTGACCAGACTGTATTACAGCAGTATTACACATGCACGTTTAAGTTCAGCGTCATTTTCACTATTCTTGCTGCAATCGACGTGAACTAACAAAACTTCAGTCAGAAAAGATACCTGTCAAAGTCTTTTCAAGTGAAGTAAAGGTTTATCAGCTGAAAGGGAAAGGAAAACCCAACAATGAAACAAGGTACTTTATCCAAAGTGAACAGCCGCGACCAACTGACAGCCCACTGACAGCTTTGCGAGGGCAAAGCAGTTTCATGGGACCGCTCAAGTATTTACAGAGTCCCTGCCGCAGTTCAGAGCGCCACCCAGACTGGTACAGGGCTCCAGGTAGTACAGGTGTTAGGGGAGCGATGTTTACACGCCCTTTCACGGAATACCTAGGTGAAGCGGACATACTGGAGTTGGCATTTTGCGGGCTATCTCACCCACCCGAGCTAAGCAGAAAACGTGCCTTTTTTTATAAATCGGTTTAATTTCTACAACCCTAGACCTTAATCCCTCATGGTTGAAACCAAAATTAAAAGCACTTAAAAGACAACAGTGGACAGCTTGGCAGCGCTGTTCATTTATTTATTGTGATATGCTGACGTTAAACAGCCCTCTACTGACATTGAGCACCGTGCTTTAAAAAAAGAGGAAAGCCCTTGCTTGTCAAACGTCACATGGGGCCGGGAGCACTTTGCTTCCTGCATTGCTCTCCTGCTCGGGCGGATTATTCATTGTTTACTCCTGTATACATGTAGCCTCTGTATTCGCTCGTTTTCTACCGGCGTAATGATCAGCAAAGTTAAAAACGCGATGTCTACCCTGGTCGGGGGTATTATGCCGCACGGCCACCAACACGGGTCTGCAAGCATTCAGCACAGCGGCTCGGAAGGGCTACCCGTCCGCTTTCCGTATTCAAGACCCGACTTTTTGGATCTGCCTGTCGATCAGCTACAATACGCCAATGATCACGGGTCCAGACCTATCCTCACCCCACAACGGGACTGCAGACTGCCCTGGAGGACGGGATACGCTGAGTGAGTGATGGTCTGTGTGTCTTTCTCGATAAAGAGGAGAAATGAAAGGCTTGGACGCCCTAGTGGTTAAATCTGTTTGCTTTGTTGTTTAAAATAACATATCTTTAATTACAGCTCCCTAGACGGACTTTGCACACGCAAAGGGTTCGTTTTGAAATTGACATTCCCTGGAAGATTATGCTAATCGTCGGAGCCGGCGTTAGAAGCGCTATGGCCCTGTGCACTTTAATTCTGATAAAGACCAGCAACGCCTGTGTCATCTACCCACTGTCGTCTCGGCATCTGAGCTGAAATCCGTCTACATCTAAGAGCTTCGGTGCCGGTGACGTCATTTCTCAAAAGTTTCAAATCTGGTTATATTTTAGATGCGCAGAGCACTTCGGCTGATAAAGCATCCATACATTTGAAGGTTAATAACGTCTGTTTTCAAAGTGAAATATAAAACCGACTGAAACACCCTGCTCTGCAGGTCTTAAAAAGTTGAAACGAGCACAGAATGCTCTTGTATAAAGCATTTTGCAGTACATTTTTATTTTAATTTTTATGATATATTGCTCATGTGCATTTTTTGCAGTTGTTTCCACGAAAGCGTATTTTTACTAACGGAAAATAACTTTTGCTTGAAACAGGAATAAGGTTTAGTAATGGAATCATTCTGTACAGGTTGATTCTTGTAGCCTAGGGGTACTGTGAATTTTGACGTATAGCAAAAGTGGCATTTCTGTATTTGGTTTAACAGTTCCTACAGTAGGCCATGACAAATTATTTCCTGCTTACTCATAAATAGGCATTTATTCTCTGCCGGCTATCGGTCTGAAAACAATAAATGGCTTAGACAGAACTCGTCAATGTGCCGAGAGAAAATGTTACACATCATTCTAGAGCTACTGTACATATGTTCGAAGGCAATTTTGTGGTGTATTTGGCATATATCATAAAGGGATTCAAATAGCTGTGAATTCAAAGAGACAGGATTGCTTTCCTGAATGAATGAGTCTGCAGCAACACCATATAAGAAATGTGTGTCCTATCTGGATGACTGTTACTTTTTACAATTTCAATGGCATCGTTTTGGCCCTTTCCTCACTAGAAGCCTGCATATTGAGGTGGTTGAAAAGAAGATTCAGTACATTTTGTTTTGTGCAGGCACAGTATGTACTGAAACACAAAACAAGCACAGCACAGCACTCAGCACTGGGATGGATGTAATCAAATATTTTAAATGTTAACATTGAAATTGAAATCACGGAACATGTGGATGTCAGAAATAAACATTGCAAAGTTAATATGATCATTAGCACAAGACTGGCAGTGTTGATGCACAGTCCCAAACAGCCCCTGGACAGAAGGCTGTGGGATGTGGACCCGATGCATTTTTAAAGGAAACATTTCAGCTCAGTGATTTGAATAATAAATCATAAGAACTTTGACAACAAGAGGAGGGCATTCATGTTGCCATTTAGTTTGTTTGGGTTTTAGTAGATCATTGATCCAAATGAAACTTTTAAGTTTGTGTGGTGGTTGAACCCTCGGCATCTCTTCTACATATTATTTTTAAGTCACATTTGCACCTCATTCTTCCTAATATCTCTGTCACATTATCCAGGATGACCAATCAGAAAACAAGGAAACATATATTAAAGTAAACCTATCTACTAACAAGCTTTATACAGTAATACAATAACAATAGAACTTTAACTGCATAACTGAATAAAACAACAGTAACAGAGGGCATACGGTTACACAGGGATCCTGTATGGTGATTTATGGAAAGCAGTCAGGTATGGGTTTCAACAACATGGCTGGGTAGCTGGTTCCATACACCCACAACCATTTGTATGAAACAGTGCCTCCAGTTCTCAGTTTTAAAAGAACTTCCCCTGAGTTTCCACTTGTGTCTTCTGGTTCATGTTTCACTGTTGATTCAGACAATCAAGAAACATATCTACCTACTGTTGTTGTGCCCAATGAGCTATTAACCACTAAAACACAGACTGCAGAAACCGCACTGTGCATGTATACACTTTACTGTGTATAATGGAAAGACAGATGATAGAGAGATATCTTTTCTGGTTTGGATTCTATAAAGTCTGTCATTCTTGAGAGATAGCAGTATCTCAGCCCACAGCTTTTTCTTAGTATTTTATTTGTTAATCTATGATTAAAAAAATAAAATGCTTCCATATCGGATGCGCTAGAGCTTTGTAAACAGCAACCATATCATAAAAGGGTTGCAGTTTATATAGCTGAGATTACATTTTCTCTTGAGAAATGAGTCATTTTATTTTCATTCTGTTCTCAGGATTTCAGCACTTAAAAGCTATGCAATTCTGAACAAATCATCATCGCTTAAAACGTGGAAATGAAATCTATAAAAAGCTGTTACATTGACATGAAAAGTGCACTTTATACTGTAAATATTTGCAAAGCTACCAGCCCAAAGTAGGCTGCAGACAAATCACACTTACTTCATTTCCTTGTTGTATCAAAGGGCCCTGTTTATGATTATAAGCAGAAATAGCTCAGCAGAAGATTTCTGAAGGCAGATAAAAGGAAATAAAACATATCTGTTTACCAGAGGATAACTTAGTGGCACAGTAGTTAGCACTGCAGTTTCTACCCATTGTTTTTAGACTCAGTGAACTGCAAACAGTTTCTGATATGTGAACTCTCAAAATGTAAAAGACAATCAACCCACACCCTTTAGCTCATACCATTATGCAGGTTTTAATTAGAGGTGTGTGTGTGTTTTTGTGGTTTGCTTTTTAACATTAAAAAAGCCGTAAAAGTCTGAGGCAGCCCACTCCCACTGATGTGCACGATAATCTGCTCAATTAAACTGTTTTACTGAAATACCCTCCTAATTATATGGTAGAAATATGGTTATTTAATCAATTGATGTGTCTAAAAACAATGTCAGAGAACAGAAAATAATGGATATACCAGCTACATCAAAAAGAGTTCTAAGAATGAACGCACACAGCAATATGTATGTGGTGTGCTGCTGATGAACAGATAGGGTTTTGCACAAAAAGAAAAGCCTCCAGTTGCTTTGCAAAGTCCTAAAAGTCAGAGTTTGTGATCTGGCAGTGGTGGCTTTCTCTGCCTCTGTTCCCCTGGAAAACGCAGACATGGTGAACTGGTGAAAAGACATGCTGAAATGGAAGAGGGGAGGGATTCCGTCAGCCCTAGAGATGAAATGTCCCCCCAAGACTGCTTCTCTGCACAAGCACAACAGTGCAACAGCTGATATGGCATCACATTTCAATAGCACAGTCTTCCATGACCCATTTAGGGGTTGTAAAGATCAAATTGTTTTGCACATTTTATTTGCTAACAAAGATACAGTAATAATAATAATAAAAACAGGATTTTATGTAGCACCTTTAAAAGCATATTCTCAACCCCATTCTGTGAGAAACCCCATTCTTTTGATTGGTCTGCAGCTGCCCATAATATTCTAAAATGCTTTTAAACCTTTTTAAGAGTGTAATGACAATACAATGTCATTTGAGTTTTGTCAGCAAATCCTGTCCATTTGAGTTTTGTCAGCAAATCCTGTCCATTTGAGTGGCAACACCCATATATTTGCTCCAACAAGTAATCTGTTTTCCACTACAGGGTCATGGGAGACACCATAGCCTAACCTAGCAAGCAATGGGTGCAAGGCACACACAAACAAACACACTCATACCAGGACCATGTTCCCAGAAGCCAATTAACATACCAGGTGAGAGGAAACTAAAATACCTGGAAGAAACCCACTGACACATAGGGGCAACATACAAACTCCACACAGATAGCACCCCAGGTCAGGAATTGTATCCAGAGTCCCAGTGCTGTGACGCAGCATTGCTAAACATTGCAACAGCATGCTGTCCATCACACAAGTAATATCAGAGCCATAATCTTTCCAGCTATAAAATAATTGTCACCATATAAAACCTTTTGAACAGCATAAAACAATGTTTTAAGCCTTACTTGTAAAATGCAATCACCAAAGAGCATCGCGATTGTTATTTTCAAGGCTAAGAAGCTGAAAGATATTTGTTGCCAATCTTCCTGAGAGAAGTGTTTGGGTTTGATTACTATGGACAGATTATAACAGCTCAGCATCAATCCATGAAAGCAGGCCAGATGTTAGCTGTAAGAGCCAATTCTCTTGTACAAGCAAGGGAGAACTCAGAGCAGGGACTAGGGCTCTGGACTTGTACCTGGAATGTTTTGAATTTGAGTCCCTACTGTAGCTATTGCTTTTGCACCTTTGACCTATGACCTCTGCACTTTTGAGTTTGGAGACGCACTCCAGTGAACGCTTCCAGATGTCATGCAGGTTGTGTTGAACGCCCCTGGGTCGCCCTTTGTAGCGACAACACCAGAGAAACTGGAACCTGTGACAGCAGGGGACATTGGGGACTTGCGGAATTGTAGAACATTTACATCTTGGCCAAAAAATAGAGATACTCCTCCAGTATGGCAGGTTGCCCAGAATGACTCACTACAGTGTACCGAGACCCTTTAATAAGAATAAATAAATAGCTACAGCATCTAATAAAGTTAATAACTGCTGACACTGGCTAGATTCCCCTTCCACCACACGTACTGTACGTCTCAGTGTCCCTGTGGGGAGGGGCTGATGGGATTTCATCAGTCCCTTTAATATCGGTAATAGAACCTCTTCTTTTCAAAACAAGGAAATGTAACTGTGAACGATGCAAGACTACACTCGGCAACTGACTTTCCTGCTCCTCTATTCTGTGGCTTCGTGGTTAAACAAAGGTTTTTGATTTCTGAATCTCTCTGCCGTCATTGGGTTAATTATGTGAGCATCTTGCGTAACTCTTTGGAAAGGAGCAACTATTGAAAATTGTTCCACTGGTTTGGTGGAACAGTTCTTGGGCCAGACAGCCACCAGTCATTTGCAAAGTTGTTTATATTTTTATCTTCAGATCCTGATAGGATTGTAACAAATTTGCCATCTTTTGCTATCTTCTTCCTAG